AACTTTCTGGCATTAGTCTGAACAGGGGGTTTAAACAACATCATTAAGGATAATGTGTATGCAATTATCTTGAATATGCTTAAAGACTTGGGATGTTGTAATGAATTAAATCTAGGTCTCAAGGGAAGGATTAGTGTGATAAAAATGACTACAAATTCACAGCTTAATTTTGTTTCACAGGTGCTCCCAACAGACACTTCAGGGAAGTATCATTTCTAACAATAAAGAGCATTTTTAGGGATGAAGTGTAGGTTACCATAATTAAGGGTAACATGTTTTAACTTCTGTGATCAGTGAGACAGTACTGGTTGCACCTTGGATCTTAGAGATCAAATTTAAAATTATTACCCATCAGTGGATTCATGAAGTGTTCTAATAAATCCAAGCTATCCATCACCCACCTGTAAAGAGTAGGCTCAGGGCTCTATATCCCAGGATCTGATCCCAGTATTTCTGATTTAAACTGGATTATATGAGTCTGCATTGCCAGATGATATGTTATAAACAGAAAACCTGGGATCAGATCCTGGGATAAAGGGCCTGTCTGGAAGGGCCCTAAGAAGAGTTCATCTGAAGATAAAAGAGACCATCATTAACAATTATGATGGGCTAAGTACAGACCATGGCCCAAATGCACCTCACCAGGCCTCTGCTCCAAATAAGAGCTATAATCTTATGTCTCCCAGGCCCCTTCTACACTGCCATATAATTCAGATTATTGAAGCAGATAATCCACTAATTTTATGTGCCTACACTGCCATATAATCCAGTTCAAAGCAGATAATATTTTATTTGGCAGTGTAGAAGGGGCCCCAGAGTTGTTTTATACATTGGAAACCTTGAATGATTCACTTTTCAACAAATGCACCTCACTGGCTGAAATCACATTACTGGCAACATATAGGAAAAAATCTCCCTTCACAGCCCTCTGGGACATAAAGGGCCTTTTCCAAAAAACTTCTAATAAAATATTAGGGATTTGGAAGATAGTGCATTTGTTTTAGAACTGTGGGGCATATGTGGCCCTTGAACATCAAGATTTCCCACCCATGGGGTTTGGGGTTGGATATGGCATTGTGTGATAGTCTCTTCTACTAGAAGGAAAGTGCTGGATTTGGCGATTGTTGTGTGAGAGAGGATGCCAATCATAATTAGTTGACAGGAAGCCAGCCTTTTATGAATACTATATTGTTAATAAGCATAGCAAGCCATGAATATTACTAAGAAAAAGTATCGGTATAGATATAAAAACCAACAGCGTATACAATATCCAAACAATTTTGGTACAATTTTGTTGTATGCTGATTGACTGCAGGACAAACTAACTGAAAAACATGTGTGCACTTAATGGAATAAGCTATGGAAGAATAGAAAGCATAGGAAATTAAGGGTGCATAACATTTTAAAATATCCCTTAGAGTGCATTTCTTTCGCACTGCATATGTTTAAGAGATCATTATGTTGTAGACAAAAATGGGAGATTAAAATAATGAATATTTTCAGAAGGAAAAGCAAATGAATTTTAGCTCAAATATATAAAACTTTAAAAGAGCCCCTCCCCCAGGTAGTACAATAGACTAAACCTTTGTGCTGGCTGAACTGCTGGCCAAAAGGTCAGCGGTTCAAATCCGGGGAGAGGGGTGAGTCCCATCTGTCAGCTCCAGCTTCCCATGTGGGGAAATGAGAGAAGCCTTCCACAGAAAGGTAAAACATCTGGGTGTTCCCTGGGCAACGTCCTTGCAGATGACCAATTCTCTCACACCAAAAAGCGACTTTCAGTTCCGCAAGTAGTTCCTGACACACACACAAAAGCTTTAAAAGAATTTTAAAGGTATCGGCCAGATCAATACATATTAAATCAGACTAAAATGAAAGTCTACCACTTTCATTTTCGAAACATGTGTTTCGTTTTCATCTACAGGTGTGTATCACATCACCTATAATTCTTCTGAGAGCTCCATCTAATCTCTGCATCAAGTATGTTTTCTATTTCTTCATGTACTTCATTTTTATATAGCAGATTAATGATACATTCTCTGAACCATTTACAGAAAATAATTTGATACTGACCATATTTCTATCAAATAGCTACACATGAAAATATTGTCCAGAAATTACTGAAGAACAAAGGTGTGATAGAATGGACAAAATACAATTTTAAACATGTAATATCTGTAACAATTTTATAGCAATTGTTGCTACAGATTAAAGGTGTGAATGTTTAGATAAAATGAATAGAAAATGAAAAATATAATTTCCAAAATCCATAAAGTCTTCCATCTAAATTTATTTATTTACTGAATTGAGAACAAGTGCCCTCATTAGTGCTGTGGCAGGAAAACAGCCTGGATGCAGCACCCAAATCTTAAATGATATTTGTATTATCAAAAGGTTGGCATCAGCTTTCAATACCAATTGTGTGTTTTAAGGGTTTTTTAAAGGTATTAACCAGATTCGCATGAGCAAATCATAGAACTAGAATCCTTCTACATAAGGAAAAATAGGTATGAATTGTTTACATCTTCTACCATGTGTTTTACTGTAATCTGTAAAGTGCAGCTCTCACAATAGTGCTATGTTTGAACCTGTTTCAAGAAAGGGCAGTTAGAGAAACAACCCCAATTGACTTTTCAATCATGAAACTTTATTAATAGAGTCTCCAAAAGTCTGTAAAACCTTGAGCAATAAAAAAACCAAGGAATTCTTCAGTTTGGGTTGACATTTTGAGGTCTTGGTCAACTTGTCACTAAGCTTCAGAGTTCTTATTACAGTACCACATAAGTGAATAAATAACACTACCAGGTGTCATAATAGAAATATATCCACCGTTTTAAGAACTCAAACAGAATGTGACAACACAACTTTATGATTTATGAAAAGAAAAGGCACATAAACCAACAGTCTGTAGTCAGATAGCTAAGGAAGAAAAAAAGTTAAAGTTGAACCTAGATAATGGTAATGTACAAAATGAACAGTTCAGGAAATGCAGATGCATTTGTAATTGTGAAGTAATGTGTGTTCTCCAGAATCCAGAGTACTAGTGAAAAAAAATAGGTTGCTGCTAGGAACTGATAAAATTCTGATTTCTCCTTCACATTTGTATTGCTGTGTATGCATATATTTAACAAATTTAAAGGTCACAAATACAAGGAACTAAAGACACCAGCTTTTATGTACAATATCGTTTATATTAACTAGCTGATTCTTTTTTTAAAAAAATTATTCTTGTTGTTTTTAACCGCCTCTTCTCATGGCTTGAGTACATACAAATACTCAGGAAAAAGGTAACGAAAATTCTTTCTCCTGTAGTTACCTAACAACAGCCAAAATTTAACAGATAATCCCAAACTAATATAGATCCTTTGAATCCGTGGATCTTAAGTATTGGCTCACTGAGTTCCTATTGATTCAACAGGGAATCCAAAATTGAATTTTGGTCAATTGTTCCAGTTACAATATTACCAGACCATACTTTAGAAGCTGCAGATGGTGTAGAACACTATAACCCACAAAAGCTTAGTTAGGGGAGACAATACTATACTTCACAAATCAACTCAACAAAATGTAAAGAAGAAATCGGTATCTTATTTTTGTCAACATGAAAAATTTGAGCCAGGAGCAGTACACAATAGTACGTGGGGATTTTATTGGTGAAGTTGAGATTTTATGGACTGTAATTTGGACTGTTTTAGAGGATTTTTAAACCTGGCAAACTGTTTTTAATGAATATTTATAATCATTTTATATAATTGTGTATTTTATTGCTGTTTATTGCTGTTTTTATATTGAATTGAATTTTATATTGAGTCCCTCTTTTAAGGTCGAGAATAGGACAGGATATAAATGTTCTAAATAAATAAATAAATAAATAAATGAAATACTTTTATGATATCTCCCTTTTGTTTTAACTAGTGTTGATCTTATGAATGAGAGTTATCTTATGAATGAGAAACAAATCATTCCATCACCGACAGTTCTGCGCAGGTCTCAAAAATTCAGGGTTGTGGCTTCCTTGATTGATTCTATCTATATCTAATGCAATCTTCCACTTTTCCTACTGCTTTCTATTTCACCAAGCATTATAATCTATTATTATAAATAGTATTAAATAAACAAATATTTAATAGAATGAGTAAAGCGAATGAATAGCAAGAAGTGGGGCATTCCAGGGGAAATTCACACACATATGTTCACAGAACTCAGGTTTTAAAAGAGAAAATATTTTTATCTTAAAAATATTTTTCACTTCTTCCTCAATTTTCTACAAGTACAAACCCACCCACTTACATACATATATCGTCCCCCCCCCCCACACACACACACACATTATGCCACTGTCAATCTTGCCCATTTATCCTGGCTTCTTCTACCTTACTTACTCTCTCTTGTTTTGGTATTTGTGCCCCTTGAATTCTCTTCCTTCCTTCCATAATTTTTTCTCTTAACATCAATACTGTGAGAATTATTTACCACTAAAATTATATTTTGTCATTACCAGTGATAGTTATGATGATGGCAAGGGCAATGTTTATTCACAAAGTAGCACTTCTAAAATGGTTCTACAGTATACCAGATAAATCGATATTGCACAAATAAACTAGAAATACTGTTCAGGTCAAGGCAGAAAAAAAAAGCTTGGAGAGTTTTATCATTAGAAACAATATGATGTTCAAGGATAATTTTGACAGAAAAATAGTTTGTTAGTGAAATGGGAGCAAATTATTAATCTCTAAAGTATTAAACTGACTTTAAAGGAAAATGAATCCAGCATCTACATCCAGAAATATCCATAGGCAATTATTGATCAGAAATAACAAAGAGTGGTGTAGGCAGTGTTTATGCTCCAGATCACAAAAAGACAAAAAACTGAAAAAAGCAAGCAGGCATTTGAAACCACTTTCAACAGATCCAGCTCAAAGGCTACAAAACAAGCAAAGCAGGCAAATATATGAGTGTTGCAAGAATATATATTAGGCTAGATTATCTACAGGAAAACATACCTGGCTAAATTGAACGCATCATCGATCAAACCTGCACGATTACTGACAGAGATAATCTGGGAGGGCAAAAGAGAAAAATTGAACACTGGAATGATAAAAACAGAAGTGCATTCATACATCAGAACAGGTTTCAGGCAATATGATGAAATGAATTTACCTTATGATTTCTCAGTAGTTGTTCAATCAGCAATTTCCAGTTTCTAATGTCATAGTTAACTCTAAAATAACCGGTCTGATTGATGTTCCCCAGCAGCCAGCTTCCCTCACTGAGAGAGGAAATCCTATGATGCTCTGTAAAAAAAAGCATGGGGGGGGGGGGGGGGGAGAGAATATAACTAATTGTTAAAGATACAATATTGAGAACAATTTCATTTACCATATAACTGCACAGTAGAAAACAGCTTTAATTTAAATATACAATACTTTTTTCAGTTACAAAATATTGCAAATAAAATTGTCTAGTATAATCATGATGTAGATATTTATGACAACATCCATTCCATTTCCCATTGCCAAATTTGCTATGAAAATATAGTAAAAATAAATACTGCTAGAAAGATTATTATGACTATTATGGACATCTCTGATAAAAAAAAGCCCTCCTATGAATTTACAGTACCTTCTTTCCATCAATAATGTTTGCACGAAGAGTGATCTTCAAACTGGATTAAGGTAATTTGGTTTAGAATCGATTCCAATATTTGCAGAAGACATTACAAGATAGTTTTATCCCATCAGTTTCATGGGGTGAAACTGAATGCACCCTCACGTGGTGACAGCTAGTATTTATCACATCAGGAGACTTGTTAAATCTCACCATTTACCATGGAGGTATTAATGACCAAATACTGCTCACTCATAAGGAATGCTCACCACATGAAACTGACAAAATAAAACTATCTAATTATAAGTATATTACAACAAAAGTGAACAAAGAAATCAGACCATAGACATGAAATCAACAGAACGATGCTTCCTTAAAACTATTCAGCTTTGTGAACCATGATCAGCCACTATATCCCCTCCCAACACACACATAACATACACAAATGTCTAAGCAACAAAGAGAATGCCTAATGAAGGGATATTGTACTGCACATATTAACTTCACCTTTCCTATGCTAGGTATATACGTCTTTGCTTCTTCCATTCTTCATACAGAATATTTTCAAACAAGTGATCAAAAAAGTATTTCCATGAGAGTAATTTCAAAAAACATTCCCTACCAAAGCTACATTTCAACGAGTTTTCACATTTAAGAGAATTTTAATGAAAAAATCTGTGGTACAAAATTATAATTGTGTGCAAAAATACTCCCAAACAACTTGGAGTATAGATATAGTTTGAAAACACAAACTCAGATCATATACAGGAATGTTAGAGGAAAGAGTAATATATGTGTTTTTGCATATGCCCCCAACTTGTATCCCTTACATTTCTAGAAAATGTCTGAAAAGGGTGAAATAGAAGCACTATTATTAAGTCAATGCATCCTTGATTTAATTCTAGCACTGCACGCTCCATTCAGATGTTTAATGGACATTATGATAAAGTTAACATTCCACATAGTTTTGCTATACACACAATGGTATATATACCAACAAGAAACATGGGAAGCTGTCTTATACTAAGTCAAATCACATCTCATCCTGTCCAGCATTTTTGACACTTATTGGTAGTGGATCTCTTAGGTTCCAGACAGGATTTCCCCCCAGTTCAACCTGCTCAAGAATTACTGAGATCAAGCGAACATTTGTTCTTGAATGAGAAATATATCTGGCAATACATGACAAGAGACATACTTATTGGAATACTAAGTCCAACCAGAACTTTATATATGCTAAAACTAACATTCATAAATGTACTTCAGTGTCCATAGTAAACCACAGCAGATGCTGGCATACAGATGTAATGAGGCATACATCTATAAAGAAGTATGACAGAAAGCAGAATCTCATTATGAGCAATTTTACACAGTCTGTTGCATTGCTATAGCAACATAAATACTCTTAATATTATAATGAAATCTATTGTTATGGTGTGCCCATGAAATGTTAATAAATGATTGATTTCTTGTTTAATGGTGGGTTATTCCAAAGAAGTTTCAAAAGCTTCAGCAGAGGACAAAATTATTAGGTTTTATTAAAAGGCTTCAGTTGGAAATGAGACTAATTTGGGCCACTTTTGGGTGTGGACTAGTATATACTTCTGAATCTAACAGTCTAAGTCTCATCAAATTTCATATGCACATTAATTAGTAGATTTTCTAATAATAATAATAATAATAATAATAATAATAATAATAATAATAATAATAAATATACTTTATTTATATTCCACCCTATCTGCCCGAGGGGACTGAGAGCAGATTACAGAATACATTCTTGGCAAACATTCAATGCCAATATACAAATTAACAAAGACAAGCAGTAGATAGACAGAGGGAAGGCTTCCCTCTTTTTTTTTTTCACATCCAGCATCTGGAGAATGTGCTCAGCTCAATTATGGGGAGATGCTGTTGTTCCATTTTTCCACGCTTGAGGAGCCTATTGTCCATGGACACCTTGCAGGCATGTCTTCAGGGGTGCCTTTTACCTCCTGCAAAAGTGATACCTATTTATCTATTCACATTCTGTTTTTGAACTGCTAGGTAAGCAGAAAAGCTAGGGCTGATGCTCCCTCCACCCGTGGCTTGAACGGCCAACCTTCTGGTAGGCAAGGTTTTCTGTAGCTGGCAGTTTAACCCGCTGTGTTGAGGCCCCAAATACTTATGTAAATTAGACCAAAAAATATTGTATTGAACCATGTCAGCAAATTTATATTTCAAATACTGCAATACAAGAGTATTAAGATTAATCTGAATGAAAAATAAGTATATTTATATATTAATGTGTTGGACCTACTCAGATAGAAAAACAGTATGACATTCTATAGCTATACAACATGCATGTGGCATGGCTATTGATGCATACTGTTAAATCAAAAATGTTAATTTGGTGTTTTTAATCTAATAATTGTGTTACATATATAAACGTTGGCATTATATCATGCTTTTTACAAGCAAATTGCTAAATTTCTTTAACACTAAGTTTGGGGGTGGGGGAGTTATGAGAGATATGTGTCCTGAAGAAGCAAAACCTTAATCAAAAATACTGTGCTATTACTACAGTTTATCAGCATACTTCTTAGTGACAGTTACTGTATATCATATTTATATGCATTCAGTTCTAATGTTATATATTCTACCACATTCACTGCACCCACTCATCAGTATATGGTAGACATTTCATGATATTAGCTTAATGTCTGAGCAAGAGCTATGTATAAAATTTTCAGCAAAATCCTTGTGTGCTTTAACATGACCAAATTTTTGCTGCTGTGTTTACACTTCTATTCTATCCAACAGCTGGAGCTTATTTTGTTTTTGAGAAGGTGCAATCACTTGGATGTGTTTGATAGTTGTTGGTCTATGTGTAGTTTCCCTTTTGTTATAGCATATGCATGATTTTTCACTTGAGCATTGTAAAAAACCCATGTTTCCATTTTTATTGAAGAGAAATCACTAGAAAGCTGACTACTCATATTTCCCAAGTGCCTCTTTCAGGTTGATCTATGACCAACTTCTCATTAGAATGATCAATCTAGCAATAAGATTTCTCTCTTCTTGAAACTGAACAATTTTGTTTTTGACCTTGGTCTTGATGCATTTGGAATAATTTTTAAATCATTTCAAGGGCGCTTTTAAAATTTGGAACCACAGAGGTTGCTACATGTTAACTGTTCTTCAACAGAACAGTATAAGTGTTTATTATAACAGTTCTTCAGTTACATTATTGTGAAGAATATCATGTTTCTTCTTCTTCTTCTTCTTCTTCTTCTTCTTCTTCTTCTTCTTAGCATTAGAATAACACTCATTACTTGAGATGATTTGTCATAGAAGAGATTTTTTATTTTCTGGAAAAAAATTATCTTTTAAATAATGGACATTGTGGCTGCAGAAACTTTTGAATTCAGAGTTTCCTCCTTTTTTGCCCTTAACTTTTGCATAATTGTTAATCTTGACTACAGAGCTATGTGAGAGCATCTATCTAGGGTAGCTATTGAGTAAATTGCATGAGTCGTTCATCCCAATATCTTCATGCCTCTATTTCTATGTCCTATCCACAACCAGAATCAATTAACGAAAAGGGAAGAGTGTTATACTTTTATATTGCTATAATTTAATGCCTTTAATGTAGTGATTTTAATAATTTTTTATTTCAAACTATTTTATCTGCACTCTGGGTTAACATATATTGAATCCCATACTGGAAGATAGGCATGAAATATAAATAGATATAGAAAGAGAGAGAAATATTTGTTCATGCAGAAGTTTCCTAACTGAACAGCATATGTCTGGGTAGATATGCTAATAAACATGAATTATATATTCTTTATGCCATGGACTGGATTTCGGTGGTCATAGATCATATGATTGTGCACAAAGAAGTACTGTCAAGGTTTTTCTTGTACTCAGAAAACTTTTTCTCAATGTGCTTGCCTTGAAACTTTCACTTGTCATAACAATTGTTTCCAAATTGTTTAATGGGGTTTAGAGGAAACTTTGCTGTTTCTTGGCTCAAATTCGTATGCTCTGTGTCATGTAAAACAGATTTTTTACTATGGTTAGACTTCTATACATGCCCCCTTCTAGACAATGTTGTTATTTCCTCTCAAAGTAGAAATTTAATTGTTCTTAATTAAAAGTGCTCAGGACTTTCAAGGCAAGAAAACAGGGTATGTAGCTCTCTGATGCAAAGCACCCCCATCACATAACACTGAAACTCTTTGCAATCATGCAGTGATGCAGATCCAGTAGAACGATTTTGAGCACAATAGGTCCAACTATAGTGACAATGGTGAGCAGATTGGAAGATAAAAATCCCTAATTTCCATCTCCTTCCTGGACATGTGTCTGAATGAAATCTGTAAACCCTATTCGGTATTTCTATGCACATTCAAGGGTGACACATCGTCACAGGAATCATCTGGATAGCCAGATCATCCAAATCTAGTGATAGTAGAATTTTCTTCTCTGGCAGCTTTGGAAAAAAAATACACCTTTATTTCCCTGTGGACAACAATATCCTAAATTAGGATATTTTAAAACCCACAATTGTCTCACAAAGATAATCTAAACTCTTCCAACTGTACTAAATGTATTTGTAATTAAGAAGAAAGCTTGTATCAATGGGGGGAAAGCTTTGGAGAAGTTCCACAAGTTTTTGTTAACTCTGTTAGCTTAATTTAAT